GAAAATCCCACTCTAGCGGACAAAAACAGTGCCTTTTATATGGACGCAAACACGCGTTGCAACTTCTTATCTGGTGCGTGTCTTTTATTTTGACAGCGAATGCTCACATGCGGACCACTTATGTGCACCCGTGTAAATAACATAATGTTCTGCCGGGTGTGTTGTTGGTTAAAACATCAATCAAAAAATTGCTCTCTTTTTTATTCGGGCTACTTAAATTTATTTTGGGCTACCAAAAACTGAAGAGTCCCTGCCCGAAGGGCTACCAGGGATTTTGAAATTTTGCGAGCCCTGTAACCTCTAGATCACAACCATTAAAATGACGACTGTAGGACAGGGTCCTCAGCATATATCATGTCATTGGGACCACATTTTCTAAAATGTGATTGCTTTTAGGGTGTCATTAGCCTTGATAACTTATAAACTTCATGTGTTTTTAAAGGAAAAATCAGGATGAGCTGATTGTCATCTGTGAATAAATTGTGCTAATTGGTAAAATGCTCAACAATCTAGCTAGACATATATATAAAAAAAACATAAAACAGGGGTCCCAGAATTGAGCCCTGTGGGACACCACAGGACAAAGTAATTAGAGTCTCCAACAGAGGCAAGGAGCCTTTTATCTAAGCCCTTTATCCAGGCCTTGTGCCTGTTTCCTCTGTTCATACAGGTGATCATGTCAGGACACCTTAGCTAACGCTGAGGTAAACTGTTGTGAAAGTGGTCTTCTAAACAATTAAGATGTGCTCTGCGTCTTAATTCTGTCTGGTATGCAGAGCAGTCTGCCGGGTGTTTGTGTGTCAGAGAGGAAAAAAGAGGGAGCGAGTGAATCTGTAGTGTTTCCCAGGCATCCGAGCCTGTTAAGTTTATGTAAGTAGCCCCGGGCTGTAAACAAGTGGCGCTCTGTGCCTGACCCAGTATTCTGGAGCGCTCGACTACAGAGAAAGCATAAGGGAGAGAAAAGCAGACAAAGAAGGAGGTAGAGTCAGTGGGAATTGAAATTTAGGTAACAGAGACACATAGGAAAAGCAAGGAAGTGGGCAGAGTGGGCTATTCGTGGTGGGAGTGAAGGGAGATACCCATTTATTTTCATACCCCACACCCCAACGTCCACAAGACTCTGCACAAAGATTAGGATAGGAACTGACAGCAGGACACAGAGGATGAGACAAAATCAGGACGCTTTAAATCCTTCTGTTCTGAAGTCTCAGACAGGTTAATTCTACAGAAGAGACTGCGAGAGCCAGATCAAAACATTAGCAGCACAAACACATGTTGCTGCTTGTGCCTGGCACATAGCGCTGTTTGTGGGAAGACCCGAGCCAGCATGTTGTTTCATTGATGGCCGTAGGGCTGATAAAAGTGAAATGAAGAGAAAGACAGGTCTCAAAAGTATAATCACTTTTCAAATGCACATTATGTACAGCTGGGTGTTATAGAGATAGGTCCGGGCAATTAATCAGCTCTAGTTTTGGCCAAAATGACTAAAAGGGAGTCTTAAGATAAAGTAAACTCTCAAGGTTTTGTAGTTGAAATCATGGAACAAGTATTACTCAGTTCTTTTTATCAGAGGACTGCTCAGGGAAACACCAGATTCTCCACGATACAATATTATCAAAGTACCTTACTCATAATAATATTATTTCAATTTTCAGCATTTTGCAGAGTGGAGTATTCCAATAATGTATCTTGTGATTTATCACCTTTTTCTAATTGAAAGTTATGTCTTCAAACTTGTTCACTATCTGTTTTATCCAATAAGATAAAGATTCTGTGAGTTTGTCAATCATACCAATACTGTCAATAAAACCTGCTATATGAAGGAGTCAGTCTGCAATTTAATATGGTCAAGTTGGTAATTACATGCAATCTTTTCCTGATAATACAGCAATTAATTGTGATAAACTATTGAAAATCACATATTTCTTGCTGTGTACATAGCCAGAAATTCACATTTAACTATTACATTTATACTCAGTAACCTTCTTGTTCAATAGGTTGATTGTAGTTGTTTGAAGTGATTTGGAAAAGGTTTGCAGAAGGGTTCCCTCTAATCAGGTGACCTGTGCAATTGTGAGTGTGCAACACGCTCAAAGCTCTGGGCAACCATTTAATCACTACAGGTTGCAATCAGTTGCAGAGTGTAAAAAAATTCACTACAATCACCAGGTAGCCAACATTTTTTTTTGTAGATGCAAGGAGGTTGCTGTCCAATTTATGTTTGCTCTGATTTAGGAGGTGGCTTTCTCAAAAAGTGTTTCCAGTTATGAATGTTTTTGTGGCTCAGGGTTTTCTCAGGATGGTGGTGCAGGAGATTGGCTCTATGTTCATAGTATTCCCAGAGTATTTTCATTTTTTAATAAAATATTCAGATTTGGTGTCCATGTATCGATAAAATATCACAATACTATGCTGTATCGACTATGAACTAGTCTGATTTTGGGATTGTGCAATAGTTGGCTGTCAGCTTTGTTTCTCTGTTGCTTGCAGACGAGCGTTTGCCTGTGCAAGATTGGATTTGCATAAAAAAATTCCTAGTAAGAGGCGTAAAACTCCTTACTATATGACCATGTGTCTCCCACCACCTGCTCCACCTCTTTTTTTCATTTGAATTACATTTAAAGTCTAAGAAAGTCAACTGAACCCCCCCCCCCTTTTTTACCAGTAATGCATATTTTAGTCACTCACATAGCTCCCAGTGGTTTGGTCCATTGCCCGTGTGTGTGGCTGTCTTATTTACTTCTCCCACATAGTAATATCACACTTGTTGTAATGAGACAATATTTCATTAGCTCTGTTATCCTTGTTACCAAATCTTATGCGCCAGTGCAGCCACATCTTACAACACATGGAGGCAGATTTGTGCAGTTTTCCAAGAGCTGTTGAGTTCTCTAAAGGAACAACTCAACCAGCTCTTTTACTGGATATAAGGAAAGGAGCTTCAGCGCTTCCTTTATTACCTCCTTATCAGAGGATACACTGGGCCTTTCTTTATGATGCTGAATATTTGTGCATCCAAACAACCAACATAGCGAACAAGTGGCACCGATGATTGTTAAAACTACTGATGCATTTTATACCATAATCTGTTAATATGCAAATATGGAAAAATTATGCAGTTGTTTTCTTATATTAACTGATCTGTAAATAAAATAAATTAACAGTATTAAAATGATCAAAGTGCAGTGGGATTTATTGTGGTGTATTAGTGTGTCTGTGAAGGTCTTTGACCTGGAGAAGACCTCCAGACCTAGTAGTTGGTTGTTTTATTCTTTTTTTTGTGGACACATTTTTTTGGCGTCCCCTCATTTTCAATTCCTACCTAACCGCTGTCTGCATGACTACCCAAAATATTGTCTAATTGTATTCATCAATATTTTCCGTTATACCAAACCTCTGAAGAAGTGTCGGTCTTGACTCACATACTTCTATGAGTAAATATGTGTGTTAAATTTGTCTAGGCCCCCTTATTGCACAAGGCTTCCTTAATCTTTATTTATCCAAGGAGGGTTTTTCTGAACTCACACACCACTCTGTAGCCCTGCCCTGCTTCCCTTTCACAGATTTAAACATTCCCTGTTAAGAAAGGCTAAATTAATCTCTGTCTGTCTGTGTTTGGGCGAATAGCGGCTGCCTCATCCAGGACGTCCACTCTGAGGAGGAGGAGATCCACAGCTCAGATGACGAGGACAACAGCTCCACCTCTAGCAAGGAGCACTTGGACGAGGCAGACAGACAGGTACTATAATGAAACTCCGTCTGTAACATCAGGGGAATTCAGACAATAAAATGACTCAATGTGAGCAATAAAGTAATTAGGGTTGAATTTAAACTGAAACTTCTCCCAGTACCTGATGACTGATCATTTCCATGCATGTTACTCTGATACCACAATCCATAAACATTTATTATATTTATTTACCATCATGCCTCATGCTTTCACCAGTGTAATTATTATAATGAACATCCAGTCAAACGTCTTGGTTCTCAAATTCTTCCAGCAGAGTGTCTTTGCAGCTACGAAAGGCTCTAAACACTTATTTTCAGCCATTTTTTTTCCTTCTCTTGCTTCTGTATGACGTTAAAGAGAGTGGATATGCCTAATCTGGTCATATTTATGAGGGGTAGCCAATCAGAAGAAATGTGGGGTAAAGGGGGAGGGGCTGAAAAGCTTGTTTCAGAACTTAAGAACTGTGTCACAGCTCAGTAATAGAGAAAGGAGGATGATTTTAAAATACTAGTCATGCAAAGCTACTGTAGTAGATTCCAGGAAATGAAATATACTAATAAATATAATACATCAATTAATGTTAACATAAAGTTAACCTTTAAAAAACTATAAAGAATAATATATATTCTTTATATTATAATAATATATAATAATTTCTATGTTGAAATCTCCAATGCAATCCAAGAAACAAATATGGAGTTTGAAAGTAGTGTAAGAGGTCCCATTTTAATGTCTTCAAACTATAGCTTGGTTATGTCGAAATCATAATATTGAGATCAGGATTAATCATTAACTCACAGATTAAGATTTTTTTTTAAATCTGTTGACCCAAATGAATAAACGAATATGAATGTGATAGGAAAACACAACTTTCCACTCAGGAGTTGAGTATAGGTTAAAGCCTCGTTTATACTTTCGCCTCCGAGTAACATAAATGTCATCATTAGAGGGTGAGCGTCTGTGTGCCCGCTTGTTTTCATAACCACGTGGACTCGTCTGGAGAACTTACATTACAGTGCACCAGCTATGACTGCAGCCCAGGAGGAGGACTTGGAGTAGATTTTCAGGGAAGTATAACAGGAATCACTACTCAGCTGGTGGTCTCTAGCTGACCATGTCTATAATGAAATATAATGAATGCAGTCCTAATGCAGTTAGAAAAATGTCTGATTCAAGTGGAAGATTTCCTTGTTTACTTTCAATCAAACATTGACATGTGACTCCTTGTTATTCAAGGAGCGGGTGAAGCTACTGTGACTTATAGACTGTATATAAAAGATGTGACTGCACAAAATCACCTATTAGTACTTTAAAGTGGACAGGAGTCACAGGAGGGCTTTGGAGTTGACGTCACGCCGCAATGCATTGTGGGAGCGCAGCTCCATTTTCGGGGTCTACGAATCAAAACAAACACACTGTGTTGGAACGACGACGACAAGAAACATGCTTAAAAGCAGCTCAAAAGAAAACGGACGGTATAGAGACCGATTGCGTCCAGAGGCGAAGCAGCGGTACTTGAAAAAAAATAGAGTGCATCGCAAATCTGGACCCATATGAAATACGGCAGTGGAGTAAAGACCCAGACGACTTACCGCCACTGTCCTACCCCGATATCTTCACGTATCTTGTTTGTGGAGTAAGCGCTTACACAGCGAACCAGTTTCGTAATTACAAGTCACTGGAGGCGCACATCCAATTTACAAATGGCTGGGTGCAAGATTTGGCTATTTTCAAGCCGCCAAACTCTGAGTACGTCGTCAAAGTAAGTCAGCTGGAGTGCATCGAGTGAAATAGCCATTTTCCACCCCCCACCATAATTAATGTTACACATTTATCATTGAACTGCTAAAATATCGTTATCATATTATATGCCCATAATTGTAAAGTACATGCAAATTAACACATTGATAATCGGGTAAATTATTAACGCCAATTTGTGTCCTTCCTGTCTCATTTCATTTATTGTCTTTACATCAACCAATCAAGTCACTCCATTCTATGTTTGATCGCAATTTCTATAACTTCCGAGACCACCAACGATGATATTATTCAGCTATAAAGTGTGATGTGAACATATTTAGAACTTACCGGAATGAAAATGTCTTGAGCACACCAGCTGATATCTGGAGACGTAACAGAACTTGATATCAGCTCGTCTCACGGCTGCTATCCAGGCTAGACGCCTTCGTTTGGTAATATCCGATACATGAGCTCCTTCATGTTGCTTCCAGGTTGGGAAAGCATAAAAAGACAATCGAAACTTATTCCCGTGCCGGTCGTAAGATCGAACATTGCAGCCGACCACACAGCAAGTACGAACCATGGCTATGCTTTCGCTCCTTACTTAGACCCCCAAAATGGCGGATCGGGCCAAAATCCTTTCCACGCCCACCCCCGTGACATCACGCTCCAATATGTGTATTGAGAAACAAAAAAAACATCTTCGTGTTACAAAAAAATACAATCCACAATCTGCACTGTAGCTTGGAGATTATTTTCTCCTTCACTTACTGTTGGGCTTCATTTTTCCTCAATTCTATTATGACTTTATCTACTCAGTGAGATAATGTTTCCAACAAGTGTGGCATCTCTTCCTCGGAGGGTTTGGCTTTTTTTTGGGGGGGTCCTACGTTGAATACATCAGTCTGTTTTCCCTGTGGACATCATGATGGATATCAAGATTCCCGATCGTGCTTCGCTAAGAAACTGTTTGTTCTGTGATGCGCATGTTGTAAACTGTTAGGTTGTAAACTGTTTGGATAGACCATTTTATTGCATGAAATAATGCTGATCTCTTCCGTGGACATCTGCTGATCCACAGAGGTCCACAGTCTTGACTTCAGCTTGTTGTTTTGGTCAATCAGACCCCCCCTATGAGCAAACACCTGGCAACAGTGGGAAGGAAAAACTCTCTTTTAACAGTAGGAAACCTCCAGCAGAACCAGGCTCAGGCAGGGGCTGGCATCTGCCAAAACCAGTTGGGAATGAGGGGAGAAAGACAGGACAGAGTCCTCAAGTGCTTTACAAAAGTGAACATTAAGAGTAACAGGTGGATTTTTCTGTTTCAGTGCAGCTAGCAAAAAAAACAAAAAAAACAACCCTTATTGCTAAAAAGACAGAGAGTGGCAGTGGACAGTATATGCTTCTTATTACCATAAAAGTCATTGTTGCATAAAATGACTTTTATGTTAATTTTATGGCAGCAAAAAGTGGCCGCCTTAGACTGCTTTTTAGCTTTAGTGTTGTGGTTTTCTACTGTGTTACCAGTTCTGTTATTAGTTAGCTAGCATAAACTATAAGCTATAAACAGTAATTTAGAGCAAGGCTCCATGGTGAAAATTAGCCTTTATACATGTAGTGCTTCATGTCCACTTGAACGATTTGGTGTTCGCCCAACATCACGAGTCAGGGGTGAGTCTCAGAGGGGACATGCTCATTCAGAAGCTACTTCTACTAATTCCTCTTTAGACCTAGAGGCTCCATCCCTCTTTTATATACAGTCTGTGGCCCAAGCCACAATAGTCACATTAATGGTGACTATCACCCATAGCAAGATTACTAAGACTCCACTATTTGTAGTTTTTAGACACTTGAAGAGGTTAAAACAAGAAAAACAGAGAAATGTTATTTTTAGTCTCATTCCCAACCACACTAATCGGAAACCATAGTCTTAAAGTGGCTGTTTTTATTCACACTTAGTGGAAAATGCTACAGAATTATTACAAGGGCTGAAGTGAGCATATTTCCAGGGAAACATCTATGGAAAAACATCTCCAAGCGCTCTTAAAATATGATGTCAGCATGTGAAGCTGGCAGATCATTTACAGGTCACAACGGACGACTCGTATCTCTCCCGGTGACTCAACTGTCACCGCAGCAGCTGGAGGCTATGTGCTCACATGCATCCTGCCGAGTGTGTTTGTTGCCTTTAAAAGCTTTTCAAAAGTGGGTGTGTTTGTGTGTTGAAAGTGGGGGATGTTGAGCAAACACAGAAGGGCTACAGGTTCAGGAATAGCTCCCTCAATGGCTGAAAGAGTCAATACTGTCAGCACCTGTGTCTGATGGCTCTCAGAGCGCCGGGGTATCACAAATACAGGCTCCGATAGGACCAGTCGGCCATTTCGGTCAAGCAGGGGCCAAGGCCGGCGTCCAAATTAAGTCAAAGAGAATCCGCCCTCCCCCTTTCCCATTCAACAGCACACTGTTGGAGAGAGATGGGGAGAGGAGACAGGCAGAGAGGAGGGAAAGGTTCCTGCTTTATGTTGTTTGAAAGAACCTTAATGGTCTTTAAACACCAGCACCGGTGATCATGGTGATTTGCAGCGAACCTGTGAGTTAACTTTAAACTGTTTTGGCGCCGGCGTCTCCCTGGCACCGTCCTGACCGTCTGTGTTTTGTCTTTTTTTGTGAAACTTTAGCAAGAAGACGAGATGAAGAGGAAGAAGGTGGTGCACATCGCCCAGGAGATCATGAGCTCGGAGAAAGTGTAAGTGCTTCAGTCACGAGGTAGCATCTGTACTGTAATCCGTGGCTGTCTAACGGACGTGTTTCTCTCTTTTATCAGGTTTGTGGATGTCCTGAAGCTTCTGCACATAGTAAGTGTCTTGTTCAGTCAAGACTTTTATTAAAGGAGGATTTCCATGACTTAATTTAGCAGCCAGAGCAAAGAGAGTGCCCAGCATAATAAGCAGCACTGTATGTTTTGGTGCTGGCACTGTGCTGTAACTGTCTTGAGTGGTGATCAAAGCCTTTTCCCTAGGATGGATTTGAATTAGTGGGCCCTTGACTGCAGTTGTCTTTGCTCGAGTGCCCTGGCTGAGTTGATTAATGCAGTTACAATCTACAGCTGAGGCTTTTAAAGTTGCTGCAACGGAGTGTTTCTGGTTTTCTGGGGGGCCGTGGTGGGCAGATAAATGCATGGCCACAAGGTGGGGGAGGAGGTGCTTTGATCAGATCCATTACAGAGATGCACTGAGAGAAGAGTGTAGGCACAAGAAAAAGAATGAGCTGTGGGCTGTGGAGTTTGCCTGGTGGCTCATTTAGTCTGTTTGACATATTTTGGGAGAGTTGGCCTGCAGACATTTGTGTGTGATGGCCCAGTGATTCTTTTTGAATATTGCAATTAACTGCAGTTATGCTGCTAACAAATCTGCTGACTATTACTGATTTGAACTATAAAGCATCGATAGAAAGAGAAATCTTTCATGTGGAGGAGGATCATCACACGTGATGAGTGTCAGGTTTGATGTGGAGAGGAAGAAAAGGATGGAAACCTCAAGCTGAATGTTCAACAAAAGAAGAGCCTTTTGTTGTGGCTGATGAAAAGTTCAAAATGAAACACAAAAGTCCAACAAAATCCAAAGAAGATGAGACAAAAAGGCGTTTCAACAAAAGGAAGGCGGGATTATTTATACTAACAGGAAGGGAGTGACAGGCAGGTGAAAGTAATTAACCAATGAGGGCAAAACAGATGGTCACAAAAGAGGAAGTAAAAGCAAAAACAAGACTTGAAAGAAAACCAACTACCTAAGTAAAACAGGAAGAGAACACTCAACCAAAAAAACAAATACTGAGTGAAAATGGAGACAATCGGGAACCGATGAGAAGAAAAACAAAGAGGAGAGTGACATTTAAAAAAATCCAAACAGAATCCAAAAACACAAACTACAAGAATCAAAACTTCAAAACAACAGTGAAATCCGGAGTTCGGTTTCTAGCTACAACCTGGGTTAGTCCTTACTGTACTGTACTGAAGATGGTGATTCAGCCCAGGAGTGCAGCCATCGTACTGCAACCTCTGGGGGCTTCTGAGGGACAACATCAGGCGCAAATAACCTCAACTGTGGCGCTTATCACCATGCACCAGTGCACACCTCATGGAAAACTAGCAGCCACACCAACACAATATTTGCTTTGCTCACCAGAGCTGGCTGCCTGCGACTCTGCCCTCTTCCTGGTGTTTTTGCCAGTGTATTAAATCCCTGTTAAAAAAGAGAGTGAAGAACCAGGCAGATGTTATGACTTAATACAGATTTACCCACTCACCTCACACCAGTCCACTCATAAGCACTCATGAGGGCAGTAATAAAATGATTTATTACTGTATTTGACCTTAGTTTGGCTCATTGAGTGTTGCTGATTAATTTTCTATCAGCTGATTTATCGATTGTTCAACTTTCAGCTCAGACGTTTAGACAGGAAAGCTGTGCCTTTGTTTAAGTTTAGTCCAAGGACGGACTGCAGCAGGCGTTGTTCCCAGGGGGAATCCCAGGTGAGCGGGTTCAGATGACCCACGCCGAGGGCCCACCTGTCTTTCCGCCTCAGACATGGTTTTAGTGAAACCGCCGTGGGATTAGTAGAAAACGCCGCCCTGTGGCTGACGGGGGAGGGCGAGGTGCAGACCTCTGTCCAAGAAAGGAGGTCAGATCGCATTCTTCCCTCTCCGCGGCCAGCCCGGGCGCGCAGCAGCTGCTTCCTCAGGCCACAGAGGCGACCTCCAGACACGCATATGCCTCAGATAATCCTCAGTATGTGTGTGTGTGTGCAGGTAGGTGCGTGGGCTCATGAGTGTACTGCATATTTGTGGTATGTTCATCCAGTTGTTTAATTTTTTAATTCTTTTTTTTTTTTTGTTTCTCCCCAGTCGACCTCTGTCTTTGTTTTAACTGCAGGTTGTCGATTTACCTGTAGGACCAGAGATTTTCATTCCCCATTTGTTAGATCCTCATGTCCTGCTAGGAACCGCTTTAAAATATACACTAACAACATATGTAGGTGTTTTATATGTGCGATAATAAGGTTTTAGTTTAAGTGTTTCAACTCTTTCTAGCTTTTTGAGTTAGGTTCAGAGAGGTTCATTATCTGTCTAATCTGTACATTAGGTAAAACATTAGCGAGTAACATAATGGAGATCATACGCAAATCCTTTTTTGAATAACAGATGAGACAAATTAAAAGGAAAATCAGAATAATGTGTTGAGAAACAGATGCAGAAACTTCCAGAAAGAGACACAGAACAATGAAGCATTTAACATCCAGCCATGCTTTGAGATGTGCTGAAAGATTGATTCTGTTAATTATGTTATTGTGTCAAAAGAGCTGCACATTCACGTTTTGTTTTATTTTTTTAATGTTTTAGATTGTGAGTTTCTACCAAACTGCTGGAACAGTAAATGAAAACGGTGATCAGAGCATTATCCTTCACCTGAGGAAGGACAGTGGGAAAGAAGGATGAATTCTTTTAGGGGTCCTAAAAGGCTGGAAGAGTGTGGTTGATGGGCGTAAAGTTAAAAGGAAAGTTACACCTTTTAAAACGTTGACTTGGAATATCAGTGAGGTCATGTGATCAGGCTGTTTCGGCATAAAACAGTCAAAGAAAGGAGGTTATAGCAGGGCTTCAGTGCAAAAACCTTCATTAGAAAAGATGAATGCTCATCTGAGAGTTCAGTGGGTCAAAGCCCACAGAGGTGCTGCTTTACAGACGTGTGGGCACAAAGTGACGTTCAAGTCAACTGAGTCATCCCTGACAATATTTTGGAGTGTTGGCGAGAGCAGGCCAACTAAAGAAATGTTACAGGCCTGAATGTTTGAGGCGCTTTATATTGTCCTGTAATGAAATACCGCGCTCATATTTTTAGGGATTTAGGTTGATTTAATGTTAGATTCTGCTCTCCTTAATTATCACCTAAACACCAAAATGAAGGGATCACTTATTAAAAGTTTCAAAATGAATGCATGGAAGCACTAAAGTCTCACGGCTGTTGTTTTCTGGGATACATCTGGTCAGCCAGTCATGGCTTTTAAAAGAAAACTGTCCCTTCACATCTGAGTTTAGTTGAAGAGTGAAAGGAGAGGCTACGATAGAGATTAGAGCCACTAATTAATTTTCATGTGATTATTTGGTTGTAAATTGGCTGTATATCCACACAATGTCCATTCTGGGTACACATGCTAATTAGTTAAGATGAGCTAAGATAGGGGGCGGCACGGTGGTTAAGTGGTTAGCACTGTTGCCTCGCAGCAAGGAGTTCTCTCCGGGTGCTCCGGCTTCCTGCCAGAGTCCAAAAGCACAGATGAGGTCAGGTTCGTTGGTGATGCTAAATAGACTATAATTGACCTTTTGCCCTGTGACAGGTGAGATGGGCTCTACCCTCCATGCAAACGTGAATTGGATAAGCAGAATAAAATAGATGGATGGAGCTAAGATAAACTTTATTTGTCACATTAAACACAACATAAATAAAGCAGAATAGCGCAATTAAATCAATACAATATGGCAGAACAAAATGACCCATTAAGGTAAAAACACCAAACAAAACAGCACAAGATATAAATGTAATACAAATAGAAGCTTAATACATAAATATCTAACAAATAAATCCATGTTTGAGGTGGTGAACATTTTGTTTATCTGTAGTTGTGGCAAATAACAGCAAATACGTGTGCGTTATATTTGTTCTGAGATTATATTTTATTGTGTGTTGCGTGGTGAGTTTATCTTTCCGGGCATCTGGACAGTCATAATGTATTTCTCTCAAAGGTGACGCTGTGGTGCAGCTAAACAGACATATTTCTCAGAATATACTGCTGCTTCATTTCTTTGTGGTTGTTTTTGTTATATTCAACAAAATATGAAGAGCTTATGATTTTTTTAGCAACTTTCAGCAAAATTCTGTCTAGAATAAAAAGCCTTCCCTTTATATATTTTGGGTAAAAATGAGACTTTAAAAAAAGTGCTTTCCCAAATAAGGAGTTGAGGTGTGGGACAAGGAATGAAAATGCCATTCAGTCCCAGATAAAGAGGGATATCTGGTTTTACAAAGGCAATAAGATAAATGGGCCACGAGCTAAACAAACACATGACAGCTACGATTGTAATATTGTGTTTTGCTAATTGTTGTACAAACTTTGCTTATCGTCTGTAATGCCAAGCAGTGGATATATTTGTGAGTGAGAGAGCGCGAGTTATCCAGGACGTCGGGATTCCTTGTCACCTCCCTACTTCCTTCCAGGTGGATGTGTGTGTTGGCATGCTGGACAAAGTCAAAGTGCTGACTCAGCTCCATGTGTGTGGGTGGGGGTGGATGTGTGTGTGTCATAAAATATGTGCAGAGGTGTGGACGGGGAGGGTGGAGGAGCGGGCAGTTTATGAGGTGCTCCTGATCAGTTGTAGTAAAGTTTGTCGTCATGTGTCACTTCCAGACTGCCCAGCTGTGTCTGTGTGTGTGCAAAGTTTTGTTAGAAGAATTAACCCATGCGTTTCTCTCCAGGATTTTCGGGATGCCGTTGCCAAGGCAACCCGTCAGAATGGGAAGCCGGTGGTAGATGAGCGGATCCTCTGTCAGATCCTGTACTACCTGCCTCAGCTGTACCAGCTCAACAAAGACCTGCTGAGAGAGCTGGAGGAGAGAGTGGCACACTGGTAACACAAACACACAGTTTTCTTTCTCACTATCACAGCACAGAAAGCATCTTTGTAGCTGAACTACACCTTATAAGGCTTTAAAAGTGGAACATAAGGTTCCTTTTATAGAGATGGAAAAGATGGAAGATGAAAGCAGCATCCACAAATCCATCCTGACATACACTTCCCTAATTGTAACTGTAACTACTTGTCACATTAATGCAGTCCACAATGACTGTGATTGGCCTGTTCAGAGCTGTAGTTACCTCCATTTCATTTCCTGCTACTTCTTCTTCTTCATCTTCTTCTGGCGTCATTTTTCAAATCAAATGTTTTGGTGTGCTAAATTGCACACCAACGCAGGGACATCACAAGCAAGAGTCAATGGCATCATAAAAAGTAACGGTGTTGTACACTTGCATCAGCTAAGCGGTGGGCTTTAATAGATTCAACACAAAAGTTGAAATAAAGCTTTAGTTTGTCAAGTCTCGAGCTTTATTTAGTCGTCATCCCTTTAGCTTTCTGAAACCTGATGTCATGAGTGCATCTGACGCATCTGCATCTGAGAAGCCAAAGAACGCTGCACTCTCATTGGCTCATGAGAGCACACGTTACTTTATTGTCCTTTTTTTACTCGAGTGGGTCATAAAAAAGTGATTATGTTTTAGTCAGTAAGAAACTGCAGCGATTGAGCCCATAAACATAGCTAACAGATCATAATCATAAATACTACCACAGGAGTCGCCACCTGGTGGCTATTAGAAAGAATGCAGATTAGCAATGCCCATCTTTTGTATACAGCCTGTGCTCCTTCTTTATTTTATTGTAAACTACAAAGGCATAACAAGCCTTATTTTAAATCAAATTAGACGAAACTAAGAAAAAAACAAAAACAACATGCTCTTTATTAGTTGGTAAAGAAGCAAAGTTATGCCCTAATCAGACACCTACTGCATTAATACAGTATTAAAATAAGTTATATCAAAAAAGCCTTTATAACAGTAATGGGAAAAAAACGATGAGCTCAGAGGAGAACATGCTCATTGATCCTTTATTTTTTTGTCATAGTTTCACTTTATTATTATACCATAAACTGAAGTGAAACACCAGTCCCTCGTTTTGAGAATGTTGTTTAAAGTCCTGTGGAGTTTGTAAGCAATACTTCCTCGACTCTCTAGTCTTATATCTCGAGACCAGTAGCTACTCCCAGCATACTGAATCATCATTATGATTTAGATGCTCAATAAAGTTTATTGGAGGTCAATTTGAAACTTTATATGTGGAACTGTGTCAGATAAAGGACCAATAAATACATTTCTCATCAGAACTATTACTTAAAAAAAAAACCCAGTGAGATTCATCTTATTATATGTTCATAATGTATCATAAAGTAAAGGGTGACTTGACAGGAGTTTTTAGAGGTGATTTGTTGAGTCAGAGCTGAGTCACCCTAACAGCAAAGAGCTGATCCTCTCTGATCTTTTTACACATGAAGTTGGGACAATCTTTGAACAATTAAGTAAGGTTATTGTCAACAGCTGCCCTTTCTCACAAAAGGAAAGCGTTCTTTAGACACATTAAAGTCAGCACACTGGATTAGGCAGTGTTGCCTCACACACTCTTTGTTCTGGGGCGCAATGAGACTGTTTAATGTCCAGTCCTGCTGAGTCAGACACTGGCCTTCTCACATGCAGCTCGCTCCGGAAACATCCACTGAGAAACGCTCAGGGCTGCTGTGCCTGTTTGACAACAGCTATAGACTCAAAATATGAGCATTTTAAAACTTATCCTAAAATAAATATAGTGCAGAAATACTCATAACGACACGTGATACTTTACTTTCCTAGTTTTGGTCCAGCAACTGCACTCTGTATGGTTAAAATTCAGACGTTAGATTAAGTCCTGAAGGTTTCTGTTGTATCTTTGTGTTTCTACATCTTAAGACAGCGCTCTGAACATGTAGGAAAGATAACCAGAATGGCCAAAATTGAATTAAACTGTTATAATATGAATATTCCAGGAATTTAACACTGAACTTCCAGGCAAGTTAGACTAGTAACCACATCCTGACTTTTAGTTGCTTATTTAGAGTTACAGTTTTTTATATTTATCACAATTCATGTGTCATAAAAACTGTTAAACATGAGAGTGAAGTACTTGGACACATTAAATTAAATGCAACACGATTGCTTCTCTGTAGTTGGATGTTTTTCCCCATGATGAAGTTCTTTTTTTCTGCTTTAATATATCAGAGCTGTTTCATTGACTTCAGGAAACTTTATGTCCACCTGGTTACAGGAGCGACCATCAGAGGCTGTCGGACATTTTCGTACAGAAAGGTCCTTACCTGAAGATGTACTCCACCTACATCCGCCAGTTTGACAACAACGTGGCTCTGCTGGATGAGCAGTGCAGGAAGAACCCCGCGTTTGCAGCCGTTGTCCGAGAGTTTGAGGTAGAGATCCAAACTTTTTTCCAGCCAGGACTTCAGTGAAGAATTTAAATGAAAAAAAGAAATATCAGAAGCCTCTGCACCATCATAGCCATAATAATAAAAAAGGTCTTTAGATAATATCTGAAACCTCTCATATCTGTGGGATAATTGGGATTTGCTGTGTCTGTGCATCTGTTTGGGTTTTGCAGCAGCATTTAGAGTGACTCTGCTCTTGTTTTGTCTCAGATGAGCCCAAGGTGTGCCAGCTTGGCTCTGAAACACTACCTGCTGAAACCAGTGCAGAGGATCCCTCAGTACCAGCTGTTGCTCACAGGTACAAACTCAGAGAGGTGTATTCACTGCTCCAACACGCTGCAGGTCAAAACTTTATTGAATCTTTTTATTGGCGGCACGAGAACGAAAGCTGGAGTAAAGTCAAGTTTTAACTGTCCTGGTGTTTTGGGAGTGCACTGCCACCCAGTGGACAAATACGATGATCGAAGGAGAGCCTGTTTTCTGCAGAACAAAGTTACAATTATTTACTTTATTACTTTGAGGAAAATAAGAAGCTGTCAGCACACTGAGCTGAGGCTTCTGATATCAAAGAGGGAAAAAAATGTTTCAGACAAAAAGTACAAAACTTCTTTTCTTTTATGGATGTTCTGGGACTTTAAGTCTAAACTAAACCCAAAATGACGCCAGAGTCTAGAAAAAAGAAGAAGAAAAGTTCTTCACAACAAAATAAAGCTATGGTTGTATATCCTTGATGAGCTGAAGGTCTGTAATCTGACCCACTGTTTTTATTCCCTAGATTACCTGAAGAACCTTCCAGAGGACTCTGAAGATTACAAAGACACACAAGGTTAGATAAAGGACATCCCTCACTGCTTCCTGTTTCCACCTTTGTGCTGGGCACTTTAACACTGATGCTTTATCTTTGCTGTCCATGCAGCCGCCCTCAGTATCGTGAAGGAGGTGGCCAACCATGCGAATGACATCATGAAGCAAGGGGTAACACCTGATTCCTTTTAAAGCCTTTCAACGTTTTTGCAGTGATGGAAAGCCACTTGAGGTGTTTGGTGGTTTGTTTTTGCAGGATAACTTTCAGAAGCTGATGCAGATTCAGTACAGCCTCACTGGGCACCATGAGATCGTTCAGCCAGGCAGGGTATGTCACTCAAAATGTTATTTTTTTGCCAACAGCCTTAACAGAGTGGTCTGACAGTGGGAGATTGTTTAAGCAACAGCAACACAAATAAGTAACACAAGCAGCATGCGGTAAGCAAAATTTATGGAGGATTAGGGCCACTGGAAAAAAAAAGTGGGCACATTTCTTTTTCTTCTTTTCTAGAATTCTGAGATTAAAGTCTGAATTTTGAGAAAAAAGTCCAAATTCTTTATTTAATCTCAGAAATCTGACCTTAAATTCAGAATTCTGACTTTTTTCTTAGAATTCTGACTCTTGTTTTTCAGAATTTTGAAATTTAATTCAGAATTCAGATTTTTCCCCCCCTCAGAATTCTGACATTAATCTCAAAATTCTGACTTTTTTCTCAGAATTCTGACTTTTTTCTTAGAATTCTGACTTTTCTCAGAATTCTGACTTTTTTCTTAGAATTCTGACTTTTCTCAGAATTCTGACATTAATCTCAAAAATCTGACTTTTTTCTCAGAATTCTGACTTTTCTCAGAATTCTGGGAAAGAAGAAAAAAAAAGATGTGCCCACCCCTAATCCTCTTCCGTAAAAATTAGAGCATCATGTCTCCACGCTAACTTGCAGCTGAAATCATGTATGCTTGACTATTACACTGCATGTTCTCAGTGAGAGTAAACTATGGTTAGGTTGTCATAAATGCTGTAAGTGTGCAGAGATAATTACACCGCTGTGGATTATTTGCACGGTGTAACCTTATAATGTATCCGTGTTTGCAGGTGTTTCTGAAGGAGGGCACACTGATGAAGCTGTCCAGAAAAGTCATGCAGCCACGAATGTTCTTCCTGGTGAGCAGCCAGTGAATTCAACACAATCTTCACCATTACACTCACACTGCCTGCCTCATTTTATTGTTTCTGATTGTTTTTTCAGTTTAATGATGCGCTCATGTACACCACTCCAGTCCAGTCTGCCCAGTATAAACTCAACAGTGTCCTTTCTCTGGCTGGGATGAAGGTTAGAGACGGTGGTGGTTTCTTGTCTTTCTTAACTTTCTTATTGCTGACTTTATTACTTAGAGATCCACCAGCAGATCCAAGACCAGCTGAAAACCTGTTTACACCTAGGCCAATCAAACGTTATTGTGAACTGGAAGTGATGTGTGGGCCAGTTGAGCGTAAGAGGTGTGGTGGGACTTGCAGGTTTTGAATTTGCCACAACTGAAATATAAGGTCTTTGCTTTTTATTCAAGGCACTTGCAATAGGATGTAATATGATGCGTCTATAACAGCTTCAACTCTTCTGGGAAGGTTTTTCAGAAGCTTTCGGAGTGTTTGTGAGTTCTGAGATCAGACGTTGATGTTGGATGAGAAAGTTTGGCTTGCATTATCCGTTCTATTTCATCCCAAAGGTGTTCTGTTGGGCTTAGGAACGGTCTCTGTGCAAGCCAGTCAACTACTTCTACACCAAACTCACTCATCCATGTCTTTATGGATCTGCTTTGTGCAAGGGTGCGCAGTCATGTTGGAGCAGGAAGAGGCCATCCCCAAACTGTTCCCACAAAGTTGGGAGCAAGAAATGTCTTGGTATTCATTTTAATTATGAATTATTATTTGATTTTTATTTTATTATTTATTTATTTATTTTTTATTAGTTTTTAGTTTTTGCCGTTTCGTTTTATCTATTGTTCTTAACTAACTTGCTGTAAGCACTTTGGTCCTGTGTTGGCTTCAAAGTGCTTTGTAAATAAAGTTGGATTGGATTGGATTGATATGCTGATGCATTACGAGTTCCTTTCACTGGAACTAAGGGGCCGAGCCAAACTCCTAAAAAACAACCCCACATCATAATCCCCCATCCACCAAACTTAACACTTGGCAAAATGCAGTCAGAAAAGTATCGTTCTCCTGCCGACTGCCAAGACTCATCCATCAGATCATTTATCACTCCCGAGCACACGTCTCCACTGCTCTAGAATCCAGTGGCGGTGTGCTTTACACCACTGCATCTGACTCTTTGCATTATTCTTGGTGATGTATGGCTTGAATGAGGCCGCTCGGCCATTGAAACCCATTCCATGGAGCTCTCCCTTCAGTGTTCATGAGCTAACAACAGCTTGAGCAAAATCTGAGTCTGATTTTTAAAAAAAGTCAAAGTCTGAGTTAAAATCTTCAGTAAACGATTATATAAAGTTTATGAAAGTGTCGTTTCAGCAACAAAACTGAAAAAAATTGTAGTCCTAAAAGCTGCAGTCGGGGGATCTGCTGGGGGTTTTCTTTTAAACCCTCTACTACACATTTACTCGTGTTGCATCTACACTGAAATACTGCCTGTTGTGTGTGCAGCAGCAGCTTCAGTTTACTTGCTTTTGAATTTTTGCAGGTGAGTAAGCCCAGCCAGGAGGCCTATCAGAACGAGCTGAACATCGAGAGCGTTGAACGCTCTTTCATCCTGTCAGCGAGGTAAGCACTCGGGCGAGTACTGCATCAGATTTTGAGCACCCATCGTGAGCTGTAAACTCACGAGTGCTGCTTGTGTTCACAGCTCAGCTACCGAGAGAGACGAGTGGCTGGAGGCCATCGCCAAGGCCATAGACGACTACACGAAGAAGAAAATCACCTTCATATCGAGCCGAAGTCAGGAGGAGGTAAGAACGTGACGTCTATGTGGGTGGACAGTGTGATAACTTCACCTGGTGTGCATCCATATTAACCCGAAGCCTCTCTCGCCGCAGTCGGAGGGGGTCGTTGATAGCGGTGCCCCGTTAGGCTCAAAGGCTCCCATCTGGATCCCAGACCTGAGGGCCACCATGTGTATGATCTGCACCTGCGAGTTCACCCTCACTTGGAGGAGGCACCATTGTCGCGCCTGTGGAAAGGTCTGTATCGCTATAACAACGGCCACTCCGTCACATTTTCTATTACATGACCCTTTTCTCATGGCGGCTCTGTGTGCGTCCAACAGGTGGTGTGTCAGGCGTGCTCTGCCAACAAATACTACCTGGAGTACTTAAAGAACCAACCAGCTCGTGTGTGTGATCAATGCTTTGCAAAGCTACAGGAGAACAGTGAGTACAGAGGAAGGTTGCGCTGGATAACCAGCAGCAGGATGTCTCAGTTTAAGTGTTTGGAAGGATGTGAAAAGGCAAAAAGCGCCAAAGAACTGAGATCTGATGATTTTATAATTTGATGCGTACACTTATGGACATTTTCACAGCCTGAAGTCTTAATCAATTAAGGATAAAACTAAATTTCCTATACTGTAGGTTATTTACTTTTTGGTATAACTCCTGTCTTCTGTCCTATTTAGTAACATGTTATCATATTTTAGGTGACCGCTGTGCTTCAACATCAATTTCTCCCATCAAATCTGGAGCTTTCTCCTTCACCAGGAAACAGAAGAAGATTCCTGCTGCACTGAAAGAGGTAAACGGGCTAAATTTATGTCAAATGTGTGATGTTATTTTTCATCTTTGGCATTGCAAGGATTCATTTTTTGCATGTTTACCAGGTGTCTGCCAACACTGAGAATTCCTCCATGAGTGGCTACCTAAACAGGTCAAAAGGCAACAAGAAGCAGTGGAAGAGGCTGTGGTTTGTCATTAAGAATAAAGTCCTGTACACCTACGCTGCCAGCGAGGTACTGTAGCTAAGTGATCTCATGTTTTTCTGTAAGCTGTGCATTTTTTCAGACTTTAAACGCGTATTTTTTCCGTGTAGGATGTGGCAGCGTTGGAGAGCCAACCTTTGCTGGGTTTCTTCCTGAGAGAGGAGAAGAACGGACCCGCTCAGAAGCTGCAGTTCAAGCTGTATCACAAAAACACACTGTTCTACATCTTCAAAGCTGACGACATCCCCACGGCACAGAGGTATCTGACAAACAGTCCAGTAATGTGGTAATATTAGAGATTTTTGTTTGCATTTGTGGTAACTACATGAAACAGGTGTTTGATTCCAGTGTGGTTGTTAATACTGTTAATATCCAGAGAGCAGGCAATGAGCTGATTTCATGTTGCATTTTCACAGCTAACAAACATTTTAAAACACTCCGTTTGTCCTAATCTGAAGCTGAAATCTAGTCTCTGTTCAGTATAGCTTCAGTATTATGGGATATATCACAATTTCAGTTTCACTGACAGTCAGAAACAATCGTTGATACTCGGGATGTTTGATCTGTTCTGATCTTTAGAAAGTGACACTTAGGTAAACATCCACATCACTATGTGGGTTAGGCGGTTTCTTTTCCTACATTTTGATGTCAGAAAATAACATAAATAACTATTCCTTAAACAGATCTTGCTGTGAATAAGATCAAAAAGTTGATCTGAGTGCATTAAAACTCAGCTTATTTTCTGTTTTTGGCATTCTTACTTTCAGATGGATCGAAGCCTTCCAGGAGGCAATGATTCTCGAGCAGTAATCCCCCTTTTTTCAGTAGTGAAGTTGTGTGACAGCCCCGGAGCCAGTTGAAAGACAACTTACGACCCCTGATTGATCACAGGTCAGAGGTCACCAGCTCAGGAAGGACTCCAGGTGGACTGTCTACCTTAAACTGAAGCCTGCTGCAGAGGGTCACAAACTCTGCTTGGAAGCCAGACTCCTTTAGCTCTCCAAGAACTGGTTTTTCTGAACTTATTTTCAGCTTCTGATGCTCAGCGGTGCAAAAAGCGAGTAGCAGCTGCGGGTCAAAGGTCAAGTCCAGAAGCACGTGTGTGGAAGTGAGACCAAACAGTTGACTGGGCTTTTTAAAGTCCCTCGGAAATCCTTGGAAGTCGGAAGTCTGGGGATGATTTTTCAAACGCTGTTGGGCGAAGGAATCCGTGTGAAACAAACTTCATACTGGCTGCACACAAATAACATAAAATACCAATCATGTGTGATTGGCACTAATGTCTGAGGAGAGTTCATATATGTAACAGCATGGGCTTTTAATGTGAAAATCAGGCTTTAACAGAAACAGGAAGTGGACATTCTGCTCTTTAAATGCATCTCTCTGGTCAAGAGATCCTTTAATAACAAACATCCTGGAGACAACTGGAAGTGTCATGAAGATTATTGTATATAGGTTTTTTGGCCTGTTGAGCCACATAGGAAGTGGTCAAAGGGTAAAACTGTGTACATTAAAGAACAACGCTGACCTTGTTTGTTTTTTTTGCTGTTGTTGTTATTGTTGTTTTTTAAAGCCGAGAGCTAATATTTATAAAATAGGAAGATTTATTGTTTAAAAAGCGCAGGCTGCATTTAATTTTGGGAGTCAGGGTTTGTTATCAGAGACCTTCATACCCTTCAAAATAATTTTATTTTTAATACATGGGGCTTTTTTTAATGAGAAAACACTGTAGGCAATACACATGAACTATATATTTCTAAGGAAATATTCATTCTTGCATTTAGCAGACTTTGTGCCTTCTATATCCTCCTGTTTGAGATAGACTGCAGCAGCACAGATTGAAATTCCTTGCAGCGTAGGACATGCATGGCGCACTGTCCCGCGTCCCGCTAGGGTTCTCAGCCTTTCAACATGTTTAAAAAAAACTGCATTTTGTTGCAGTCTGTTTGTTTGTTGCACACAGTCTGTGTGTTGATGTCACATTTGAACAAACCCAGAAACAGAAACTTTTTTTTTAGTAAAGTAATAAAAAGGGGGGAGAGTGTCATCAGAGCTTATACAATAACATTTGTAAACATCCACTCTATACGCGTTAGAGTCTCTTATAAACAGCATTTCTAAACTGTCAGGAAACAGTTTTTAATAAAATATATATGAATATAAAACGTATCCTCTTGTCTTCATTTCTGTGATTAAAAGCAGTGGCTATTTGGTGCCACAGTCATTAGCGCTGTCACCTCACAGCAAGAAGAGTCTGAATCCACCTACTGGTTAGGTTCTTTGGGTCCTCTGCCTTCCTTCCACAGTCCAAAGACATGCATATTAAGTTAAATAGTGATTTCTAAATTGTGTGAATGTAAAGGTGAATGGCTGCCTGTCTAAGTTAGACCTGCATCATACCATGGAGGTGCTGAGAACGTACTGCTCTGCTCTGACATTCAGTCATGCATCTATTTTAAGGCCCAAGATTTTTCTTAAATTACAAATCTTACATAGGTGCTTAAAAACCTGATTTTCTTCAATTTCATGAAAACTGATCTTCTCTGAAGTGGCAGGTTTATTTACAACAAAGTGTTTCACAATGCTTGAGGCAGAAGGTTTCCAGTTAGTGAATTTGTCTAGATTCACAATTCTCTGTCAGATTTCTTTTAGGCTTCTACACAGAAGACAATAGGGGTAAGTTAAACAGAGTAAAACAAAGCAAACATACAAGCAAAGAGAGGCAGCTTCACAAATGCAGTTATTTCAATGATACGGCATCAACTGACGTTCTTCATTAACCTCCAGGTCCTTGGAGTTGGAGGGTGAGGACCCAGGAGAAGAGCTCAGGAAAGAGCAGTAAGGAGGAGAGGGAAAGAAAAAAGGAGGACTAGGAGACCGTGATGAGAATGTCCATCTTACTCAGGCTTTTTGCTTTAGACTTTTCATTTTGGATCATTCTATGTGCAGAAATGTGCTTAAATCCCTGAAAACTGTTAAACTCACCACAGATATTCATTTACTGGCTGTAATAGCAACATTTCATGGTTTCATGAATTGTGTTCATCTTGCACCCAACCACTTTTATCCAATACTACTTTAAATTCTTTAAATTCTGCTCTAATAATAATACAAAACCAGTACTGATGACCAGAATGCACAAATTCCATACTTGACAACACAATAAAGCACAACAAAAAATCAGAATGTGTTTGTATGCAAAAGCTCATCTGGAGAGCCAAACTCCTCAATGAGGGCTTCACTCATTTTCTTGATAATGCATGATGGTGCATGTTTTTCTTAAGAGCACTCAGGTATTATGTGCTTGTGATGTTATCTACAACCACATCTGTAAGACATCTGTAAGACATCTGATGACGGCTTTCATTTCGTCAAAATTCAAAATGCCTTCTGTGTGGAATATGCATTTCTTGAGGATCTTCATGATCCAAGAAATGCAGTCATTGGCAATTCTCTCAGCAGCAAGAAGTGATATCAAACTTTTAGGGGGATCCTCCTGTAAGTTCTTAGAGGTTGATGGCTGACTTTGACCTTCTGTAGGCCCAGTGTCAGTGATTGGTTCAGGCTCAGGGCTTTGTTCTGGAGGTTGGTCCTGCTCTAGTACACTTCACACAGGAGACGGTTTTATTTTTGGGAGGAGAATCTGGACTTGACTGTGGTTCACACAGTCTGTCACTTTCTTTTTCCTCTGTTGGGGTCAGTGCTCTTAAAATCACATCCTGGATGTCTTCCATGGCACGAGAAACGTTTTACTTTGGACGGTTTGATCCAAAGCATCATTCTGTAACCACACTTTTGCATGGAGTCTTCAACAGTCACGTAGACGACTTCAAAAGAAAAGGGTAACTCATCTGTTTGCTCTGGAGACCTAGAGATTACCGTGTCTGAAAGATTTCTTCCCGGTAGCATCATAGGGAGTAAATATCTTTGAGTCGACTGGAGGTAGTCATTTTATCTGTCAACTCCCTGTGAAAAGTCTCAATTTCAGCACTTGTCATTATGTTCTCGGGGGTTTCTGGATAAGGTTAAGGTGCTCTGCCCGGGTTAATTTATTAAACAGTTGATCAATATTAGGTTTGATGGTGTTAAAATGGTGTTAAAATCAACTTATTCGTACACACACATTCACATTCAACAAAGACCAAAGCACGAGTGCTCAAATTAATGTGGTTTCTAAGTTAATACATCTGCGTCCCATAAGGAAAGAATATAAACATCAGTAAAGCTTTTTTCAAATCGTCTCTCCCTCTTGTAGTGGACATCGGATCTTGCTTAACCTCCTAGGACCTGGCGTCCACATATGTCACATTTTGGGTTATTTAGACCAAAATACTAAATTTTGCTCTACAAGGGCCTGATGTCCACTTACGAGAACAATATACTGCCTCTGTTTTATCGAAATTTAAAACGAATATCCTCATATGTGGCTCTCATTTTTCTTAGGAACAAAAATCAGGTAAAAAAAAAAAATCTGGTGATTCTTTGTTTTTACATTCATCGGGTCCTAATATGCCCAAATATCAAAGAGAAATTAAAAATGCATGCCATGGAAAAGTTCGGGTCTTAGGAGGTTAAAGACCAAGTTATGTGACGTAATCCTGCGGAGCGAGAGAGAGAGAGAGAGAGAAGATGGAACTGAAGTTCTGGGCCTTGTTTCCCCCGACCGAACGGTCCGTCCTAGTAATCTTTCCGTCTTAAGATGGCGGGGTATGGAAACCTTGTCCGAAGGGCTTTGGGGCAGATAGGAGGTCATGGAGGAGTTCGGGGTTTTTTGCTCCAGCTGTTCAGGTGAGTTTAATAAGACGTGTGTGCGTCTGTGTTTATCTGCTGGAGGTGAAAGATAAGGGTTAAATGCGGCAGAAACGAAGCGGGGATTTGGAGAGCTAGCTGATGTTAGCATGCTGTAAAGGACTCCTGATTAGCTAGACATTAAGAAAATGGTGTAAAGTCCATTAAAGGGCTTGAGGAAATGTGTGAAAAACTATCGAAACTTTAGGACTTTAAAGGTGATTCGTTTTCAAAATAAGGTTATGTAAATGCTACATGATGTTGTGTTTATGACCTGCAAGTTTTGGGGAAACTAACGTCTGTCTTCCTATTTTATTGGCAGAGTGAATGATATAAAAACGGGCACACTGGTCGGTGTGGATAAATATGGAAATAAATACTATGAGGACAAGAAGCATTACTTCTTCGGTGAGTCAAATTAATTTCAGAGCTCTATAGTGACTGTTTCACGTCTACAGATCTTTCTGTTATCTGGTTTCACTCATCCTAATGTTTGCAGTCAGGGTAGTTTGAGGTGGGTATCAACTTGCTAAATCAGTCTGGGATTTACTGATCCAGCCGAGATCTTTTCACATTTATTTATATTTTACTAGGAAAATGGAAAATTAGGTGCAGCGATTTATTGCAACATGTGCAAACATACATGTAAATGTACTTTCTCTGCTTTGTCTTATATACAGTTCTAATTCTAATGTTTAATGTGACCACCACTTTTCTTTAACACATCCTGAACTCTCTCAGGTGAGATTTCTTGTAATGTTTTTAAGTAGTCTTCAGGAATAGCTCTCCAGCTTCTTGAAGGACACTCAAAGCTCTTGTTTGGATGTTTGCTGCCTTTAGATGGTCCCACACTGCTTCAGTAATGTTAATGCATGAGCTCTAGGGAGGCCAGTCCATGTCTGATAGTGCTCCATTGTGTGTCTTTCTATCCATGTACGCTTTAACTGCATTGGCAGCGTGCTTGGATCAATGTCATGCAGGAACACGAAGCTCCTGTCAGTCAGATTTCTTTCAGATGATATTGCATGGTGGTCATGGCCGCAAACCATGACAGAGCCTCTACCATGTTTTACAGATGGTTGTACATGCTCACGTTTGTCTTCCTCTCCTGACCTTAATCCATCAGAATCAGTTCCACTGATTTTCAGTCTAGTTCTCATGTAATTTGGCATGCCCCAGCCTTTTCTCCTTCCTTAAGAATGGCTTCTTGACAGCCACTTTTCCACTGAGACCATTACTGGTGAGGTCTCCGTGATTCAGTGAGGTTTTTAGATGATCAGCTGAAGCACCAGATGCATCTCTCAGTTCTTGTCATGTCTTATAATTCTTAAGAACATGTTTATCTGGTGTAGATAGTTTTTAGGCCTTTCACTTTTTTTTTTTTTTGTGTCACGCACTTGTCCAGTTTCCTCAAACCTTTTAAGGACACACTGCACATCATGGTGAGATATGCCAAGCTTTCAGCTGATAGCTCTTTGGGAATCACCTTGGGGAGAGGAAGGTCTGTGTGTCTGTTCTTAGACTGCTGCCCCCATGACTCAAACAGTACATTTATGACGATTAAATTTGTTTGATGCCAGGAAGGAATGCTGGCCAGCAGACTGTGTGACTATGGTTTTTATCAGTATCACAACTCAGATTAATGTATATTCCAGTAAATGAATGGTTAGATGTGAGGGACTCTGTTGTGTTTAAAAAAATAAAATAAAAAAATGCCAGCTTCAATTCCGGCAGGAGTAAAGATCGTGCCTCAGGCATTAGGAACCAGTGTACTTCAAGCCTGGTTCAGTAAGAGGCACTGATGTCCGAGAGATCTTCCAGAAATAGTGATGCTGATTTACAGAGAACTGAGAATCGGTCCAAACTCATTGAGCAGGTTAGGGCTGCTGCATCAGTTACCATGGTGATGAAGAGGAAGAGAAGTGAACCATCTTGGCAACACTGAAAATTCAGGGTTTAACCTGAATTTGACCTTGGCGATTCCCTAATCTTGCTCCATAGCACAGACATTATGTCAATGGTGACCTGTCTATGGTTAGAGGAAGGATTTGAATTCAGTTTAAGTCAACTGCCTTTGACAGGGAAAAAAATAGTAAAGCCAAAGTAAATTAAACTTCAGGTCTTTGATGGGTCTCCAGCAACCTGTTGGATGTTAGGAGGTTAAGTGTAATTTAGGATGAATTTAAATGCTCCTTCAAAGAAAATCCCTAGTCTTAGTTTGTGTTTTGTCTTTGTGCGATCAGGACGTCACCGCTGGGTGATCTACACCACAGAAATGAACGGGAAGAGGACTCTGTGGGAGGTGGACGGCAGCATGGTGCCAGCTGAATGGTGCGGCTTTTATAATGGATTCAAATAGGGTCTGGAATCAGTTAAAAAGCTCAATAA